AAAGTTCTTCTCCAGATGAATGAATTAGAAAAATGTCCCTCTTCTATGGGTGAGGAGGCCTGGGGACCTGGCTTGAGGAGGGACTGGATTTCAGCCAGCCTTACTTGTGAACAGGATATATTAGCACAGCTACTTGCAGCAGCCTGCGTTGTCATGGCACTCCGTGGCTGCCTGTTTGTGGCACAGGTTCCCAATTTCTGGCCTGGGAGTTCTTGGGAAACATACTTTCTACACCAGTTATTCCTGGTTTGGTTCTTTCTTTTCTTTTTTTTTAAATCAACAGTACTATTATGGTACAATTTACATATCATAATGTTCATCTCATTGTAAGAATACCGTTCAGGTTTTTTTTTTTGATAAATTTATAGCATGGTACAAATCGTTACAGTCTAGTTCTAGAACATGTCCATCACGGCACAAAGTTCTTTGGTGTCCATCTGCAATCAGTTTCCCTTATCAACCCCAGCCCCAGGCAATCCACCGGTCTGCTTTCTGTCTTTATAGCTTTGCCTTTTCTGGAAATCTCATGTAAGTGGGATCCTATCTTCCTTTGGCTGCTCTCCTCTGCTAATCTAATAGGGGTTCAAATTGAATTGGGGTTATATCTTCCTTTTGCTGCTTTCTTCTGCTGATCTGCTGGTGGTGTGGTGGCTGGATGTTGGCCTTGCCCCCTTCTACTGCTCCTACAAACTCTCGCTCATCCCTTTCTTTCCATCCTGCCTCAGCATTCAGACATGCTCTGTTACCTTCTGTCTTAGAACCTTCTCCCTGGTTCAGCATCCTCTGTAGCCACCACCATATTTCTCTGGGCCATTTCTGAGCCCATGTCTCAAGATTTGACTTCATATTCTCTCTCTACTCTCTTCTCCCCTGTGACTATTCCTTTTAAAATTTGAAAAAAATGTATCTGATATGAGTGGAAGAACATTAAAAAGAGCATATATATATATATATATATATATATATATATATATATATATATATGTAAACTTTAAAGCATAGAGATACAATGAACATCTGCATCTGTCACCCACTCCTTCCACCAGCCTTACAAACAGTGGAACACATGACTCAAAGTATCAAAAATGTCTTGCTCATCTCTGCATTTTTTTTTTGTCCTCTTTGATCTTAGCTAACTCATTTTAACTCCACTTTTATAAAAGGAGTCTGGGCTGAATAGTCTTGAATTTCATTACATTGCTAAACTTCCCTGATTACCATTTAGAGATTAATTTTATGTTTAGAATGTATTATGGAAGATTTATAGCTTACATTGTTGAATATTACCATAGCTTACTTTATTATGAAGTCTTAGCTAAGAGCATGATATACGATTATACTATCATTTCTACAGGAAATTTATTCTACTTTGTATTAATTTGCTTCAAATGCTGTTTTTTTCCCTTAAAGTTTTGAAGCTAAAAGCTAACCTTCCTGTAATGTTCTCCCTCAACCCCACCTCTCTTTGGATTGAATTCTTTTAATCAGATGAATTGGTCCCTGGGGAGGTATGGATGTCAATTATTGCTACAACTTAATACTAATGACTACTTAAATATTTAATTAATGTAATACTTGACACTTAGGGAGAAACTATTTATAATCATCAAAGCCAGGCCTTTGTTTTCATCTTTTGTGGCTGATGTTTGGCATATTCCATTTGTAACACAGTTGGGAATGAGCTGCTATAGAAGTGAAAAAACTGCCTCCCACTCCCTTCCACCTCCAGGCAGAAGAAGTTGCACTGAAAGTGATTAGTGATGGATATTTAAAACATTTGTAATTATATTAGTTTTCCAAACTACATTTTTATGGAAAATGTATTGAATTGTAGAAGTATAAAATAGTTTCTTATTCCTCTCTATTGAGTATTGATGTCACGAAACTGCTCTTAAAAGCACTCATTTTTCTTGGACTCTCACTTTGGTTCGTTCATTAGTACATTCTAAGAAATATGGCAAATTTTAATGAGTTGCAAATGTACCAAAGTGACTGACATTGTCCTGTGGTGCACGGGCTCAGTGTGGCTGGAACACCGTGGAAGACAGTCTCTTCTGCCTGACAAGTGCAGGCCACCGAGAGCAGGGAGCTCAATTTAGGGCTCCGGGTTCATATGAAAGATACATTCCAGCCATGGTGATCCTGAGGCTCACAAGTCACCCCTGGGCTCAAGGAGAATACATATGAGAGCTGGTTCTGTGGCTCCAACAAACATATAGCTTCAAGTTTTCTCGCAGTCTGAGAATTTCTAGCCATTCACACCGTATTTTGCCAGTCTCTGCTTCACTGAACACAGATACTTTCATTTCATTCTGAAAAATCCCCTATATTTGTGGCTTTAGCTCTATAAATTCTAAATCTACTTGATCATATTCTTTGTGCTTTTCCTCCTACCTAAAATCAAAAAGAGACAAGCGAGCATACTTTCTATTTAAGTGGGTGAGTGAAGGTTTCCTGACTCTACACATGGACTTCATGAGAGAGTGACTCTGACCTGTGAAATGTCTCATAGACACGCATACTTTTTTTTTTAAATTAGTTGGAGGCTAATTACTTTATAATATTGTAGTGGTTTTTGTCATACATTGACATGAATCAGCCATGGATATACATGAATTCCCCATCCTGATCCCCCCTCCCACCTCCCTCTCCACCCGATCCCTCTGGGTCTTCCCAGTGCACCAGGCCCGAGCACTTGTCTCGTGCATTCAACCAGGGCTGGTGGTCTGTTTCACCATAGATAATATACATGTTTCGATGCTGTTCTCTCGAAACATCCCACCCTCGCCTTCTCCCAGAGTCCAAAAGTCTGTTCTATACATCTGTATCTCTTTTTCTGTTTTGCATATAGGGTTATCGTTACCAATTTTCTAAATTCCATATATATGTGTTAGTATACTGTAATGGTCTTTATCTTTCTGGCTTACTTCACTCTGTATAATGGGCTCCAGTTTCATCCATCTCATTAGAACTGATTCAAATGAATTCTTTTTAATGGCCTAGTAATATTCCATGGTGTATATGTACCACAGCTTCCTTATCCATTCGTCTGCTGTTGGGCATCTAGGTTGCTTCCACGTCCTGGCTATTATAAACAGTGCTGCGATGAACATTGGGATGCACGTGTCTCTTTCAGATCTGGTTTCCTCGGTGTGTATGCCCAGAAGTGGGATTGCTGGGTCATATGGCAGTTCTATTTTCAGTTTTTTAAGAAATCGCCACACTGTTTTCCATAGCGGCTGTACTAGTTTGCATTCCCACCAACAGTGTAAGAGGGTTCCCTTTTCTCCACACCCTCTCCAGCATTTATTGCTTGTAGACTTTTGGATAGCAGCCATCCTGACTGGCGTGTAATGGTACCTCATTGTGGTTTTGATTTGCATTTCTCTGATAATGAGTGATGTTGAGCATCTTTTCATGTGTTTTTTAGCCATCTGTATGTCTTCCTTGGAGAAATGTCTGTTTAGTTCTTTGGCCCATTTTTTGATTGGGTCATTTATTTTTCTGGAGTTGAGCTGGAGGAGTTGCTTGTATATTTTTGAGATTAATCCTTTGTCTGTTGCTTTGTTTGCTATTATTTTCTCCCAATCTGAGGGCAGACACGCATACTTTGAAACATTCTTCACTGATTAGTGAGGCTCTGGGTTGACAGATAGTCCAGCTTTTCTTTGTACACTTAGAACTTTAACGAAGTAAAAAGTGAAAGTTGCTCAGTTGTGTCCGACTCTGCGACCCCATGGACTATACAGTCCTGGAATTATCCAGGCCAGGATACTGGAGTGGGTAGCCATTCCCTTCTCCAGGAGGTCTTCCCAACCCAGGGATTGAACCCAGGTCTCCCGATTTGCAGGCTGATTCTTTACCAGCTGAGCCACCTGGAAAGCCCAGGGCTTAACAGGGTCACTCTAAACTTCACAAACAGTGCCAGTCATCTTACAAAATACAAAATCCCCTTTTTTTAACTTTAGTCTCCTTTTTCATCCATCAGAATTCTAAACTCTGAAATCACCAGATATAATTCCTTTGACATTTAAATTTACATTTGTCTTAAACATTGCATTTAGTCAAAAATTATAGATTATTATGACTTTTGCAGTGTACGGGCACACCAGTCGTGGTACATGAGCCCCAGAACTGTGGGCTCCATAGTTGCAGCATGCGGGTGCTTATTTGCCCTGCGACATGTGGGGCCCTCGTTCCCCAACTAGGCATCGAACCCACGTCCCCTGCATTGGAAGGTGGCTTCTTAACCACTGGACCTCCAGGGAAGTTCCAGTGTTATGACTTTTTAATTGTCATACTAATGAAGGGATTTCCTTAAGATCAAAACTGCTATAGATAAAGAATTAAAAAAAACATTTTTCATGAGGTAAAGAGTGGGGTTAAGGTCATTATTCATAGTCAAAGATTTAAGACTTGATTTTTTTTTTTATGTATAGCTCTCTTCTGTTAAGCATGTGCTGCGCTTAGTCACTCAGTGGTGTCTGACTCTTTGCAGCACTATGGGCCGTGGCCCACCAGGCTCCTCTGTCCATGCGATTCTCCAGGCAAGAATACTGGAGTGGGTTGCCATGCCCTCCTCCAGGGGATCTTCCCAACCCAGGAACTGAACCTCTGTTAAGCATAATCAGCATGAAATATTTAAGAACTTATTTATTTGAGTTTTCTCAGTTGTAGAAGAGAAAACAATGATGTTTTAAATTCTCATATTTTTTTAGAAGCCTCATGTTTTCAAGTCTTCAAAATGTTTGCCCATCTGAAAGGCTTCTCTTGTGCTCATGATGCTTGTTGCTTGCATTATGACAGGCAGCACATCAATTGTACCTTACTTTGTAAAGTCAGTTATTTTATTTCCATGTTAGATTTTCCCCATTTAAATTAAAAAATCTTCAAGATGAACAGGGACAGCAGTGTCTGTGGTCTGTCCTCTGGCCATCTGCACATAGTCATGTAAAGCTGATATTTTGGGTGAGTGAGAATTTTTGTGTTTTGTTTCACAGGTGGGGAGCATTAAGCGGGAAATGACCTTCACGTTTCAAACAGAGGACTTAAAACGTGACTCTAGTAAAAAAATGTCCCATCAACACTTGTTTCCCTTGGCCATGGAGGAAGATGCGAAAACAGCAGACACCAAAAAAGCCAACCGAGCACTTGACCATGAAAAAGAAAACACTCGCTCCATCTGTCTCCTTGAGCAAAAACGAAAAGTTGTTTCTTCCAATATTGATGTTCCTCCAGCAAGGTAAGGGACCATTAGACCTTGTATGTGTCTGCCCCAGGAAGTCAGTGGAGAGCAGGTACTGTCTCTGCTGTATTTCTCTAAAGTACGCAGACATAGAAGGCGTTTCTGCTGAGAACATCTTTCCGTTGCTTGTGTGAAACAGAACAGGTGGTTCTGTTCTTCAGAGCTGACTTTGAGGCTATAGCAGTCGAACTACTGTAGCTCTAGAAAAGCATGTTTTATTAGATTTTGGCAAATAAACAACAAACAGCAAGAGAAGAAATATAAAAAAAAATTAAAAGAAATACAAAGTGTAGGACTGAGCATAGCCACTTACAAGCAAGGATATTGAGATCCTTTGGTCAGGAGTTGGAGAGTTGTGGCTGCAGATTAGATTTGGCCCCTGACCCGTTTTTGTTTGGCCTGCCAGATAAGAGGGCTGCCCTGGTGGGTCAGCTGATAAAGAATCCACCTGCAATGCAGGAGACATGGGTTTGATCCCTGGGTTGGGAAGATCCCCTGGAGAAGGTGAACGGCTACTTACTCCAGTATTCTGGCCTAGAGAATTCCGTGCCAGATAAGAACAGTTTTACATTTTTAAAGGGTTAAAAAAATGAAGAATGGAGTATAGATCATAGATGGCCTGTAGAGCCTAAAATATTTTTATGTGACTCATTACAGGAAAAGTTTGGTGATTCCTGGTTTATATCATGGTAATCCTTTTAAGACAGATCTAGCTTAGAACTGGGCCAAGAGGGCTTATCTGCAATATCAAAAGGCTTTTATCACATTGTAATTCTACTTAAACCGCATCCAACAGCACTGAATCAGAGGATAATATTATGGCAGAGTGACAGTGGAACAGTGGTAGAATATACATGCTAGAACTTAACTTATTTTCTGGCCTCTCATGTATCTCAGCTAGAAAGTAAATTCCATGTCGGCTGTGATTTTAGTCCATCTTTTTATGCTACATTTCTAGCACTAGGACCATGTTTAATTATATATTAAGGGCTCAGTAAATATTTGTTGAGTGGAGAAAAGAAAGGAAATGCTGTTGCATGAAAGCTTGCTAATTTTTAATGTGTGAAATATGTTTTGTTACCAAAAACCATCTATAATGAAACTTCATAAGCAGTTGTTGGTAGAAGGTCTGCATTTGTGCAAGTGGTTTCTGACAGCTAACTAGAAAAATAATATCTTTGGAAAAGGAATAAATATTCCTTTTCTACCCATTCACTGCCTGTAATTAGAATTTCATTTCTTTTTATATGAAATCATAAGTCTCTTCTCTTAAAAAAACTACGTATTTTTCAATTCTGCTATCAAATTTGTCAAACTTTGTAAAATTATAGGCCTCTTTCTTTCCCTTAACTTTTAATTGAAACTTTTCATATGTTCATTACCTCTGCTTAACTATTTGGAATTATTTGCTTGTCTAATTTTTTCATATAAAGTACATGCTAAATTCTTTAGGATTAATTCCTTTAACTGGGAGTTCACTATGAAATGCCTTATCATGACCTGAACCTGACAAGCCCTTCAATTCATATCTGTTATTTGGTTGACTCACAGGTAAAATGAATGACATGTAATTTGAATGTGAAGAGCTGTGGTTTTATTTTTTTCCTAAGTTTGTAGGACAAGAATTAGACTTCCCACTGTCACATAGTTTGGTGCCAATTTGCAATTCTACAGAACTTACTCTATGGAAAATTTTCATTAGACCATTTTATATATTAAGAGACCTGGAATCATAATTTATGCTAAAAATCTGTTAAGGATTCATTCATTTCCACCCATTGACCTATCATTTTATTTTCTTGGAGATTGTTGTGTGGTTCTGATATCAATTTAATGATGGCCTCATAAAATGGTTTAGGAAGTGTTTCCCCCTCTTTGTTTTCTGAATTTGTTTTAGGACTGGTATTTTTTCCTTAAAAGGTAGGTCTACTGGTAAAACCAACTGGACCTGGAGTTTTCTTTATGGAAGTGTTTTTTTAATTACAGATTCAATTTGTAAGATTGATATACAGTTCACCCTTGAACAACACAGGTTTGAACTGTACAAGTTCACTTAAATGCAGATCTTTTTCAGTAGTAAATACTATAGTACTACATGGTCCTTGGTTGAATCTGCAGATGTGGAGGGATCATGGATACAGAAAGCTGACTATAAATTATATGCAGATTAATCCTCACATTGTTCCAGGGTCAACTGTAGTGCTATTCAGGTTTCACATTTCTTTTTGAGTCAATTTTGGTAATTTGTGTCTTTCAAAGAATTTATCCATGACATATACATTGTTATATTTGTTAGCATGTAGCTGTTCATAATATTGCCTTTTAAAAAAATGTTGAGAATCTAAAGTAATGCTCCCTCTCTCATTTCCGATATTGGTCAGTGTGTTATCTTTTTTTTAACCAGTCTACTAGCAGTTTATCACTTTTATGGCTATTCTCAAAGAGCCAGCTTTTGCATATGTTGACTTTGTTGTTTGTCCATTCTTTATTTCACTGATTTATTTTTTTATTATTTCTTTCTTTCTGCTTATTTTGAGTTTAAATTCCTCTTCTTTTTCTAGTTTCTTAAGGTAGAGTTTTAGATTGTTAACTATAGACTTTTCTTCTTTACAACTATAAGTTATATGCTATGACTCCTTTGAAGCACTTCTTTATATTGTTGTTGTTTAGTCTCTAAATTGTGTCCAATTCTTGTGACCCCATGGACTATAGCTCGCCAGCCTCCTCTGTCCATAGGATTTCCCTGGCAAGAATACTGGAGTGGGTTGCCATTTCCTTCTCCAGATCTTTCTGACCCAGGGATTGAACCGATCTCACATTGGCAGGTGAATTCTTTACCTCTGAGCCACCTGGGAAATCACTTCTTATATGTACTTCCCAAATTTTGTTCAGTTGTTTCTTTTTTAAAATTGGATTATTATAATTAGGTTTATTTTTAAAAAGTAAAGAGATACATTTTTCATCTTATTATTTGTAGTTGGGAAAACAATCCAGAACACAGAAATATACAGCATATTCTTAAAATAGGATATTTAACTCATTTCATTCATTATAATTACTGCTATGTGATTCATTGTAATTACTGATAATTTTGGCAACTTAATTTTTTTAAATGATGCTTTACTATGTTTTCTTTTTCCTACCTTTTGTTTAATTCATTTAGCTTGATTATAAAGTTATACATTCTATTTTTTTTTATTTGTTCCTCAATACCTTATTTTTTAAAAGATTTTATTATTTTTCAGAGCAGTTCTAGGTTCACAACAGGATTGAAAGGAAGTTACAGAGATTTCTCACATACCCTGTGTCCCCACACACACATCACACACTTCCATCTGTCATTATTTTTGCCCTAAATTTTACTTCCATACATGTTTGTGTTGTGCATTAAATGTATAAGGACATGTTTCCCTCATTTTAGTATCATACAGAGTGTTTATTTTTTTGCTGCCTAAAATATACTCCATATTCTGCTTATTGATACCTTCCCTACCCTGAACTCCTGGAAACCAGTCATCTTTTTACTGTGTCCATAGTTGTCTTTTTCAGAATGTCTGTAGTTGGAATAATCTACTATGCAGCCTTTTCAGATTGGCTTCTTTCACTGAGTAATATGCATTTCTTTAATTTATTCAACATATTTATTAGTTAAGTGGATTTTTATGTACCAGATACTGAAATCCAAGGTAGAGTAAATTAAATATATTTCCTGCTCTCATAAAATTGAGGAGAGAGATATTATAAACAATACAAATATATAATTATAAATTATATAACTTATAATGTCCAGGACATTCAACCTATTAAATGTACAGGACATTATGAGGTCCATAAGTAAGAAGGCTTATATTGAAGCATAAGGAAAGCTCTCTTTAAGGAAACTACGTTTTAGCTGACACCTAAAGAATGAGGAAGTTATATTGACTAGGGAGGAAGGTGTTCCAGACAGGAGAATATTCATGAAAACTCTAAGGTAAGAAGGAAGGCCTATGTGGCTGAAGCACAGAGAATTGGGGAGAGCGGCCAGAGATGAGGTTGGAGAGGCAGGCAAGAGCCAAATCACATGGAGCTATATTGATTGAGGTAAAGATTTTTAAAGTATATATTTAGGTTGATAAGAAAAGAATGGTTAATGCTCCTTTTGTATTTAGGTGTGACCACATTAGATCACGTTACATATAGATTGGGTCCCCAGGTGGTGCTAGCAGTAAAGAACCCACCTGCCAATGCAGGAGACATAAGAGACTCGGGTTCAATCACTGGATTGGGAAGATCCCCTGGAGGAGGACATGGCAACTCACTCTAGTATCCTTACCTGGAGAATCCCATGGACAGAGGAGCCTGGTGGGCTTCAGTCCATGGGGTCACAGAGTTGGACACAACTGACGTGACTTAGCATGCATAGATTGGGTGGGAGAGGGGCAAGAATGGAGGCAGCAAGACTAGTTAGGAAGCTACTGCTTTAGTACAGAAGAGATGTCATGGGAATTTGGACTACAGTAATGACAGCTGACATGAAGTGGAAAGACGCATGTATATTTTTGAAGTAAATGTGAGGTTTCCCGGTTGTAAGCAACAGCAAAGAGCTGGCTTATTGAACAAAGGATGGAATTTCCTGAAAGAGTTATGAAGTTTCTAGGAAGGCTGAATAATCAACTTAAAAAGTGGATAGGAGGTGGGCAGCTAGAAACATAGTTGTGTTCATTCATTCTGTAGAACTGGGGCCTACCACTGAGCTTCTTGGCTTTTGAAGCAAGAGATGTGTGTGTTTGGAAATTCTCCAGGCACTAGAAATAAATTCAGCCACTGGAACACAAATTTAACAAATGACAGATCTAAGGCGGCTAGGTTTCTGACCCCAGGTGAATTTTTGTTTCTTACTATCATCATTAGTGTTTATCAGAGAACATTAACTTATTGCCAGTTACAACTGTGATGCCTTAAAATACATTGATTTCTAATGTTAGTTGCTGTTGAGCCTCTTAAAAAAAAAAAGA